ATATATATATATATATTTTGAAATGTTGAGAAGGAGTCATGGCCGCACACAGTTTCTGATTTTTGAATTGATTTTATGTATAATTTTAGAGGTATGGAACCCCATAAACACTTCCCCCCCTTAAAATGCCTAGTAGTAATGTAGTTTAGATGGAAACAATAAATACCAGAGCTTGGGATCTTTCATGTTCTGCGGTACATACTAATGATGGAAAATATGATTGAAACAAGCTGAATATTTGTGTGAGGATTAACCATTTCCATTGAATCTCTGCTCTATTGTAGGTTCTGACTCTGCTAACTATAACCTGTTAGTGACTAGTGCCAGCCGACACCTTTCCCCAGTCCAGCAGAACCTGCTGAAGTTTGCTTTGTCTCTTCGCTCCTACTCGGCAACTGTGCAGTCATTCCAACAGGTTTGTAATGCCTAAGCTTTCCCAGCCGGTCACTAACAACAATAACTCAAATTCCTATGCTTGGATAGGGTTTATAAGTGCTTGCAGATGTTTCTGTTTTGCACCCAACTGAAGTGTCTTTAATAATATGTATCTGTTGCAGTAATAGTGTTTAAAGATTTAGTCTCCGCCCATCTAGTAAGAAAAAGTGGGCAGGGAAAGTTATCTTCCTTTTAAAGCAGAACCCTATTTTTTTTAAATACTTGCATCCAAGTGCCCATCTCAACAGCTGACTGCAGTTCCTTAACCACTTGCTGTGAGGCCAAGGCTGTCAATGACACACCCCCTGAGGTGTCATTACACATTCTGGGCTCACTATACTGGACTCCTGGACTAAATGACCTTGACATTCCACTACCTGAACATCATTTAGTCCATTTGGAAGAACTGTCTTCTTTTGGAGGAAAGGAGAAAGGGCCTGTGGTGTCACCCAGTAGTCAAGAAGTTTGCAGGACTAAAGGCATGTATAAAGCAATTTAGGCAAATAGTGGCAGGGGCTTCATGTAGCCCCCACAGGTAATAGATTATTCCTTGCGGCTAACTAATCATGCTGTTCATGGTTCCACTGAAACTCCGTCCACAATAGTACTACCCAAATAACATGTTACTGCCCAGGCTTCCTATGGCAAGCATAAATTTAATAGGTGGGACAGCCAATGTACATAAGGGGGAATTTATCAAAACTGGAGCAGACAAAATCTGGAGCAGCTGTGCATGGCAACCAATAAGCTTCTCTCTTCAGTTTGTTCAGATTAGATTTGAAAACGAAAGATAGAAGCTGATTGGTTGCAGTGCAAATCAGCTCCAGATTTTGTCTGCTCCAGTTTTGATAAATTCCCCCCATAGTGCTTGGCTGTGCCCATTAGCAGCCTATGTGTTTAAGGGTGGGGGAGGGTATTGTGGGACTGATTAAAATGACTTACAGGCAACAAAACCCACTCCAGTCCTCCAATTGACATTGGAAAATAGGGCAGATCCATCGCTGTGTTTTTTCTTCTTAAGGGCAATCAAAGAAGATGGTCAGGTAAGTCACATCCTTCATCATTACATAGAACTGTGCTATGCTGTGATGATGAGCTTGTTAGCAAATAGAAACAAAATTCCTACCAATTGGTAAAGATTGATAATGTCATTGTACCCAGTCAGACAGGTGCACTCTGCATCTCTGCACATCTGACTTCTAAAGGTAATGTGGATTTTTATTCTGAGTTTCACAGCTGTCTTGGGATTGCTAGAGAGCTTTGACATACGAGAGGGAGCAATAAAGAGCTTACAGCAACATCTGTGTACAGATGCTGTTAGATGGGTAGCACAAAGGAAAAGAAAGGATCGCTTTAATTTCATATGTTAAAAATGCTATAGGTTAGCACATTCCACAACCATATTATATGTATATAACTGTATTTCTGTGCACATTTATTGTTTGATTTCAGATTGCAGTTGATGAGTCCCCACCCTCAGCTTGTAAAGCTTTCATTGTGGTCCATGAAAAGAAGACCTGTGACCTTAATGAGCTGCCGTCACTTCTCAGTGAAGCTCTGGACAGGTATTCATGCTGCTTTTGTTCACACCGAGTACGGAGCAGATGCAGAACGCATCAAAAATGCATCCAATGTATTCCATGTTATTTTGGGCCCTAGTTCACACCGCAACGTTCAGTTCCAGAGCATATGGAAAAACTGCAGCATGCCCTATTTTTGTCTGCTCTGGAACGCACCAAAACAGAAACTCATGCAGATCTGGTCTGGATTTGCTGTGAACAAGCCCTTAGAGTAAATACAAAAATATACATTTATATTGCACGCCTTTATCCTATAAAAGTTTTTATCAGAAAAACTTTGCTTGCATGTGAACTGCAGTGAAGCCATTGTATTAATCTCCCTGCTTTAATTTCTCCTTCCCAGGCCAAAACCTTTCTTGTTCAAGGGAGATCACCAGTACCCTGGTACCTCACCTGAGAGCCCAGTAGTAATACTATATGCTCAGATTGGCTCTGAAGGCTTTTCCACGTTTCACCAGCATCTCTCAGAGAAGTCTCGTGCAGGGAACATTTCTTATGTGCTAAGACACTATGTTGCGGTAGGTTTCTATTATTCTCTGCTGCCATTTCATGCAGCACCTGTTGTATCTGTGGCTTACAGCCTAAGGGCCAAGGAAATGTTTATTTTACCTTTAGTAAAGTCTGATATTACCTGTCAGTGATGCGAAATATCTGAACTGGACATTTGGATGCCCCTTTGAAAGTATTGATCGGACTCTGCCCAAGGAAGACTACATGCAAATTGCAACTACATTCTCATGTTGGCCTGTCACGGATTGGGAACCATACCCATTAGCTGGCCAATAAGAAAGCCTGGGAGGAGGCATGTGAGCTCTCAGCAATGATGGAAAGTTTTTCAATTTGCATATTAGAGCACTTTTGGATTTTTTAGGTTCCTACATTGTAGCCCTGCAACCAAGTTAGTATATTTAAACAAATAAGTATACTTCATGGTTTCCACTGGACCCTCTTTCCATTTTTGTTTTTACAAACCATTTTCTTTACCGCTTATGCTCTTGTGCTACTGCCCACTGGAAACCAACACAACCCATTTCCTATTGACCTGAAAATTCTTGGTAAACATACATAGCTCCTGCAGTCAAATGTTACTCTCCAGTTTTAATTTTGTTATGGTCTCTTACCCTCCTATGGTAACGTGTATGTGTTGGCAAGCCTGTGGCTTCATCATTTGACTTATTGTATATTTACAAGAAAACTTGCCTGAAACTATGTCTTAACCTTCATAGTTGACTATCTGAGTGTATATCTTCCCATTGTAATGTGATGTATAATGCACTTTTTGTGTCTGCAGAATCCTGGGACAGAGAAAGTTTTCCTCTCTGGTTATGGTGTGGAGTTGGCCATTAAAAGCACAGAGTATAAAGCTAAAGATGACACACAAGTTAAAGGTAACCATAAGTTCTGATTACAGTATGTTACCCTTATTATACTCTCTGTGAGAAGTTTCTGGCATTTGAAGACTCCACAGATTTCGCTCTGCACATTATTCCAGCTCACATCCTCACCCTTCTTCAGTCCATATCATATGTGTCGCAGCTTGGAGCTCAAATCTTACTGGCAGAAACCTTTATTCAGACTGTTGCAGTGCATTGTGTTTGCATTATTTCACTCTTTTTCACTCTTTGTCAAGGCACCACAGCTCAGATTTTATTGGACCTGCAGCGTTTTTGTTACACTCTTTGGATGGTTCACATCCATGCACTGGGGTGCACCTGCATTGTTGTGAACTGGCTAGGTGCATTGTTGTGGAATTTATTTTGATACTTCACTTAAGCAGACCATACACGGAGCAAATTTCAGCTGGTTCTTGATGGGTGGCCCTGTCAGCAGCCCCCCTTCCGACATCCTTCAACCTTAAAATCAATGGAGCCGGGCGGAAAATTCTCAGCCGAACAGTAACTGCAGTCACTGTTATTGTCACTGTCACGGTTATTCTGACAGTGACATAACTGCCCGTCTGAATACAATAGCCCAGTAGGAGAAATTCCCCTATTCGCTCTGCTTATCATTGATGGGGGAATCTGTTTTTGAGTTTTACCGTTCAGCCCATAAGCTCAGCCACAGTAATCTACCAGGGTATGCCTGCTTTAGTTTTGCATCTTTTACCACATGTTACTGCAAGCAACATTCTGAATCAACCCTTTTCATTAATATTAGTTCTGGGTAGACGGACCATTTAATATATACAACTTCTTGATACGGCAAATACTATTTTGTGCTAGTTAATCATCATATTGATATCAATTTTTGTTACCTAAAAGTGGTATTATAGTAATAGTGGAGTGGGAGCCCTTCATAATGAGCACAAGGAGAACTCGATATAAACATTTCAACGATATAGCTCATGAGAGATATAAGAAACTGTCAGATGCTCTAGCTCTCTGGCATTTACTGAACAATTAAATTTTAAGTATGGATGCACCGATACTAGTATTGGTATTGGTGCCGATGCCGAGTAATTGCAAATGCTCCAATGCCTAGCCCGATACTTGAGCTCCGTTGTCAGAAAGCTGGGCAGCAAGTCATTAAACGCTGCCCGGCTTCCTGAATGGCCGTGAAGCCGACCCCATGATCCCTCGTCACCAGGTGGGCGGGAAGCCGCGTGCCGTATAATGACGCTTTGCCCGGCTTTCTGATTGGCCAGCTTCTCAACCAATCAGGAAGCCGGGCAAAGCTCGTTACATGGTGCCCGACTTCCTGATTGGACAGAAAGCCGGCTTCATGCTTTCTTGTTACCCGGTTGAGGGCTTCACTGCTAATCGGGAAGCCGGGTGGTGAGCCTATAACCCCGCCCGGCTTCCTGGCTAATCAGGAAGACAGGTGGCGAGTCATTACACAACGCCTGGCTTCCTTAATGGGACTTTTGGTATCGGCATGTACTGAAAACAAAATATCGGTACTCGTACTCTATACCAAAAAACAGGTATCGATGCATCCCTAAATATACGCTGTGGGTGGACTGGCACTTCACATTTCTGGTTTGTGTAGCAGAGAATAAAAAGCACTGAGTAAGAACTCCTTGAAATATTACATAGCTGTAAAACTGTGAAAACGATGTTCTTTGTTAAGTTCTCTCTCTTTTCATGCATTATAAATATATAATTACCTTTCCGTATTCTTCTGAGCAGACACTCCTATAATATGTCATACCTTTTCTTTAGGGAGCGGGGTAAATGCCACAGTGGAGAGTGATGATGCCTTAGATGAGGTTCAAGGATTTCTGTTTGGAAAGCTCAGGTAAGAGATTTCCCTACTGCTTGGTCGACTGTCTTTGGCTTCAATACACTAAATGCCAGAGCTGTTCAGCCGCATGCTGGTTTAAAGAAGAACTCCAAGAAAAATTGTATTTACCCCTTGCAGTATGGCTACCCCCCACACTGCAAGGATTAAGTGCTCACTTTTGTCTAGGTTAAAAAATAACAAAGTTATACTCACCCGAATCTCTGAGCCGACCAGTTGTCACAGCACTCCTTCCAGCCTGTCTCTTTCTACACTGCAGCATTGGAATGTTCCTCAGCGTCCTCCCGTCTATACACAGTGTACAGAACGTGAGGATTTATGGGATCTTAGACCTCTGCAGTGGAGGGGGAGATAGGCTCGAAGGACCAGTCTAAGAGTAAGCCAGCACCGTGATTCAGGTTAATATAACTTTTTTCTATTGACTCGTGTGCAGAGATCAGTAGTGGCAGCCTATATATTTTTGCATGTTTCCTTTAACCCCTTCGTGACGGGAGACGTACACTGTACGTCCAGCCATAAAGTCTCCTCTTTTTTTATATTTTATTTGTCCTAAGTGAGGCGTTAGACACACATATGTGATATAAATATGTAGCCCTATCTGTCCTCTAAAAAACAATATATAATATGTGTGGGTGCACTTTGTAAGAAAGTATATTACTGACGTGGAAGAATCACACAGCAAAAATGTCAAAAGTGTGTCAGTCATTTACGAACAGAAACTAAAAACAAGCTCAGTCATGAAGGGGTTAAAGCTGAACTCCAGGCAGATAAAAATGTACAGATGAATAAAGCTCTGCATTCATTAATACACCATAAAATGTATTTACTGAAATGCAAGCTGTGTAAGTACCAGAACTTGACTTGGTATCAGCCTCTTGTACAGCAGAGCTTGAACAGGGAGAGGGAGAAGCAGCACTAGAGCCAGTCAGTTGTGCTGCAGTGTGATAACACTTGGCCTGCTGATGGGAAGAGCCAGCAGAGTGACAGATATTAGCCCATCCTTTTTCTGCTGCTTTGCTGCCCAGTCACAGGCCGAGGAGGAGGCTGAGGAGGAGGTCTGTAAGTGTTTCTGTAGTAGGTTAAAATCAGGTCTCCTACCCTGCCAGACAGGAGTGTGGATGACTGGATGAACAGATCCTTTTGCAGAACCCTTGTTTTCCTTACAACAATATACATCACATTCAGGAGGATATTTTAGGAGCTCGTTCACACCAGACACAGTGCGTTCCGGCCCAATTCTGGCCGGAACGCACTGGATCGCATTGCGGCTTGCTCACTGTGTTGTGGGGCCGTAGGGGGCGTGGCGGCCCATTGAAGTGAATGGCACCATAGCCACGCCCTCAGGCCACAATGTGATCAGCTGTACGGAACTCAAGGCACATCAATGCCTGCGGTCCGGTCAGAAAAAAATAGCATTGATGTGCCTTGCGTGGCTATGGTGCCATTCAGCTTAATGGACTGTCACGCCTCCTCCTGCCCCACGACATAGTGAGCCAGCCGCAATGCGATCCAGTGCATTCCGGCCAGAATCGGGCCGGAACGCACTGTGTCTGGTGTGAACGATCTTTTAGGTTAGTTTGTGTCTGACTTTTATATTTGACCGTAAAGGTTCAGAGCATAATTAGGCTTGTCCATCTGGAGTCCAGTGGCCTTCCATAATGGTAAATAATAAACTTTTTGTTTTTGTTTTACAGACAGATATACCCAGAACTTAAAGAGCAGCTAAAAGAGCTGAGGAAACATTTAGTGGAAAGCACCAATGAAATGTCGCCTCTGAAAGTCTGGGAGTTGCAAGGTATGTCTAGCAGCGCTGAAATCATTGGGCCTTATATATTAAAGTGTCTGAATTCATATATGTATCCACTAGTTTAAATGACACTAAACTCAGGAAATACATCTTAAAAATGCATTCAAGTACCTTAATTAAAGAAAAATGTATTGTGTATCACTCGGCTGTAGATCCTCAAATCATCTCTGAATTGGTGCTGACACTGTCCTTTCTTCTGGAGGGTGCCTACTTTTGTTCCCCATAGTCACTGTGTGTGTTGTAAAATAGCCACCGCTCCATGCTCACTCCTGTGTTGGACCACAATCTCATGTTTAATTTACTAATTTGTTCTGAGATTGTAGTCCATTGGGAATTTTTTTTTTTACCTTGGGAAATTCTTTTAGGTAAAAGCTTCATATGAGCGCCCAAACCCCCAAATCTGACTATTTCTCCATATACGCTTGCGTACGCCCCCCTCCTGTCACTTTGCTTTATCATCCAGATTTAATCCTCTGGAGACTGATACTAAACTGTAGGTTACCCCCCTCCTTTTAGTTTTTTCCTGACTTCTGTCTCCACTTTTTTCACCTTCAACCCCCCCTCATTCCCCAAATATAGTGAAACCACAATTCACAAACAGCACTGGCAGCAGATCGGCTGTGCTACAGTGCAGAGGTGTTATAATGGAATATGCAGACAGACAAGTGTGTGCTTATTTTTCTTCACTGTCCAGTAATATGCCAGGGGCAAGGAGGGGACCCAGCTGTATTGCTAAACAGCAGTAGGGAAATGTCTGCTTTCTGTAATGGCTGTGTACATCCCAAGACTGGCTGCACAGAAATACATATCCTTTTGCAGGTAAACAGCTCCCATATTTGTATTTCAGCTATCTGGCCAGCGTTAAGTGTTTAGAATTCATTTATATTTTGGTTTTGAGAAATCATTATGGTCACTGTATTAAAACGCTAACCACCATTGGATGTGTTTTTTTTTTCCACATAAATATATATGAACTTTTCTTCTTCCTCTTAAGATCTGAGCTTCCAGACCGCAGCTCGTATCCTGGGTGCTCCCCCTTCTGACGCTCTGACGATCATGAAAGATTTGAGCCAGAATTTTCCTACTAAGGCCAGGTAATGTCCTTTGTAACTCATCTGACTGACTCTTTCTGGTGCAGAGTAACTAAATTTACATTCTGGGGGAAAGGAAAGCACCCATTGCAAGCATGCAAGCCGTCAGGATCCATGTGACATTGTTTAGTGCTGGTTACAAGTACATAGATGACGTTGGTTGGTTGCTACATGTTTTAAATACAAGGGGTAGAATTTATCAAAACTGGAGCAGACAAAATCTGGAGCGGTCCCCCAAGGCAACCAATCAGCTTCTATCTCCAGTTTGGTCAGTTAAGATTTGAAAATGAAAGAGAGAAGCTGATTGGTTGTCATACACTGCTGCTCCAAATTATTTCTGCTCCAGTTTTGATAAATTCCCCTCAAGGTATTTAAAATGTTAAAGCCCAGCTCTGAGCTCCTCTCTTTTCAGATGTCTTCATCGCAGGCACATGATGTGCAGGGTCCTCTTAGCTGATCTTTTTTATATGAGTGTTTAAAAACATATTAAAAAGGCTAGGGATGCACAGATACCAGTTCAGATATGAGTGCCCATACTTGGCATTTCACGAGAACTACCAGGGTTGCAGCTGCGACTGGGCCCTGGCGATCCACCACTGTCCCGAAACATAAGTCTGCATTGTTTTAGAAAAACTGTCACATGACAATAAAAAATAAGTATCAGCACAGTATCTGTGAGTACTTGAACAAGTATCGGTACTTGTACTTGGTCTGGAATAAATTGTATTGGTGCATCCCTAATATAATATATATACAGTAATACCTTGGTTTACGAGCATAATTCGTTCCGGAAGCATGCTTGTAATCCAAAGCGCTTGTATATCAAAGCGAATTTCCCCATAGGAAATAATGTTAATTCAGATGATTCGTTCCACATCCCAAAAATATTCATATAAAATGATTACAATACTGTACTGTAATATAATAACGTATAAAATATAAAGAAAAATAAACCAATTACCGGTACCTTTTGTGGCCGGTGTGAGAGGGACAAGAGGGAGGAGGATTATTGCGTAGGACGACTTTCACTATCACTAACGGAATCACTGCTATCTCTCGACTCAATGGAATCTTTTTCATTTTGTGAAACCTTAACAAGGAATCTATCCAATGTGACATTGCGTTGTCGTTAAACAGACTCATCGCTCGCACTGCTACAGCCTTATTCAGGTGGTGCTTTTCTACAAAATTTTGCTCTTATTGCAAGACATTGCTTGTATATCAAAGCAAAATTTTTCAGAAATGTTTGCTTGTCTTGCAAAACGCTCTCAAACCAAGTTACTTGTAAACCAAGGTATTACTGTATATATATATTATATTTCAAAATCATACATTAAAACCGGGATGCACAAATCCAGCCAGCTGCCTCCTAACTTTTGAGTTTTTCTCTAGTCTAGTCCTGGAGCTGGAAAAGTATCACTACTTGTACTTGTCCCGAGTACAGTACTTGGTATCTGTGCAAACCTTAAAAAGGCTATGGGGGGTTCTTTATTAATGTTGTTAAGACAACTGCGTCATGTCTCTTTCTGGGTATTCTTTAGCTAAGCTGTAATTGTATCTACTAAGGCTGCAGCATACAGCAAAAGCGGTGCCAAACTAATATCTCCGTGGGCCAGGAAATGTTTAGAATGAGTAACATTTATGCACTTACACTCTTCATTTCTGTTTGCTTTATCAGAGCTTTAACAAAGACCGCTGTTGACGCTGCTTTAAGGAAAGAAGTAGAAGAAAATCAAAAAGTGAGTAATATAAATCCCTGTTTTCAGAAGGCACTGCTGACGTTTCTTTATGGTAAAAGTACCTACAGACAATGGGCAGGGATGACCTAGCGATGACGTCTTTATCACTAATTTGTATCTGGCTTGGTGCATAGGGCAATACAAAGTGCAGCAACCAATAAGTCATTATTTTTCATGGGTTGAGTTACCCTGAACAGATAATCTTGTTAATTCACTTTGTACATCACCGTTGCCTTTGCACTGTCCTATTATAAACAAGCTCATATGTGTGTCTATGTGCAGGAAAGGTTTATCAATTGTCAAACTAAATTCAATATTGAATCCAGACCAAACAAATATACATTGCCCAGCAAAGTATTGCTTTATATTTTAGCCCAAACACTTACAGTTATCATGTTTCTGAACAGCTGGCTCCAACTCTCTCAGCTCAGCTTCCCTGAACTTCCTGTTAAGTACAAGATCACACGGGACAGAGCAGTCTCCAGCAGCTGTCCATATCCTAGCTTGGAGATGGGAGCAGGGGGGAGAGGAGTGGTTTTCCTTGCCTTGTCTGTTTGTGGAGACACACACAGCTTACTAGTACACACAAGGGTGGATCCATAGGACCCTGCAAGGAAAAGGAGCCACCCTAAAACAGGATATCAGGGCCAGTGCTCATGGGACCAGCTGATTCTGCAGGAAGCTAAAGCTTTTAAACATCTAAGAGCAGCCTCCATTGTAAGTGATTTTATGAGCATTTGAAATAGCTTTAAAACTTTTTAACTTTACTATCACTTGAATAAATACAGAGCTGCATTGGCCATATTTTACAATGATTGTCTTGATTTAATAGCACCATTGCAGTCCCAATTGGGAACATTTTCAGCCGTGAGACACCAGCACTGGCTGTTCTATAGCTTATGGATACGTCTTTCATATTGTTCATATCATCATTGGGCTATGTTGTGTTCATATTAAAATTAGTGTTATAAACACCAGGAATCACACTGTATATAGAGATGTTTATTCTTACTTACGCACACACACACTCATCATTTTTGTGTTTGTTGCTATTGTAATGATGTTATTGGCATTCTACAAAGATATTTCTTTTGTGATTTCTTCTTCAGTATTTCAAAAATAACCTAGGCCTGCATCCTGGAGACTCCGGTCTGTTTATTAATGGACTGCACATTGATCTGGACAACCAAGACATCTTCAGGTATGGTGAGCATGGAGCTGAATGGAGAAATGAGTTGAGCTTTCTTAAAGTGGTTTTCAGTTTCAGACAGAGTATGGGAAACATGTCCGTTAATCCTTCCTCTGATGGTTGTTCTGATGATCCCTCATGTCCTCTGCCGACCAGGTTATTCAACAGCAGTGCTAAGCATCTCTCAGGCTACCACCACTCAGAGCTGCTCTTCTTTTGTGGTCAGGTTACATTGCACTGGAGAAAACGGAATCACTGTCAGTGGCTAGCCTTGGAGCTAAAATACTGGTTAGGAAGAATTTCCAAATGTGCACAGAATTTCCTCTTCTTACTTAAGGCTGAAAAACAGCCTTAAAAGAGAACTATGGGGTAAGTGTTTTTCCCCACACTTCTCTTTAGGGTCACTGGAGGACATATACTAACCTCTGCCCGTGACCCAAAGCTATTGCCTGCCATATACTGAGAGCGCTGCAGCCGGGCCGGATCCCGACAATACTGTCGAGATCCACCCAGGTGCGTGAGTGACAGCTGGCTCTGCCTATCTAGAGGCAGAGCCAGCTGTGGAAATCACTCACCTCATAGTTCTCCTTTAAGATATCTGTATTATTCACTATCCTGGCTACGTTCGATGATATTGCAAGTTTAAGCTCTCCATCTGCTTCTAATTTCTCGGTGTAATAACAAGGAGTAGTTACACCTGCCTTACTTTCTCCTTTAGCACCATCTTCTGAAGTGTATCTTTCCTATGAGCATATGGGAGCACAGAAGACCCTAGAATGTATGTCCCACCTCTAGGGGGTAGGGTACCGAAGAGCTCAAAAAGCCAACTCCTTCTTATAACTAACTGATCTCACCATTGCAGGGTTGGGTGGTCCTACCCTTCAAGCATCCAATCACAGTATGACCATTCTTAATTTTAGTCTCCGGAAGGTGCAGGCTGCAAATGCTGTAAAGTTGTGTCTTTGGATAACTTGAACTACCGGCCCTATTCCAGGTGGTCTTGGATATTTAGGACAAGTTTGATCAGATGCCTGATTACATAATGCCAGCCGATTCTCAACTCTTGATCCAGACCTCAGTGACAGGGTACAAAAACCCAATTAAAGCCTGTAAATCCAAACAAGATATGTGTCACAATTGCCGATACAGAGCATTTGTACTCGCCCAAATGCTCCCGATACCGGAACTTCCGGTATCAGAAAGCCAGACGGCATGTCATTACACTCTGCCCTGCGTTTTGATTGGCTGGGAAGTTGGCTCCATGCTCCCTCGTCACCAGGGAGCATGGAGCTGGCTTCTTGGCAAATCAGGAAGCTGGGCGGCGTGCAATGGCTCACTGTCCAGCTTCCTGATTGGTTGGGAAGCTGGCCAATCATGAAGTCAGGCGGTGAGTCATTACCCGCCCCCCCTTACTGATTGGCCAGAAAGCCGGCTCCATGCTTCCTCGTCACCCGGTGACGGCTTCCCGGCTAATTGGAAAGATGGGCGGTGAGTTATTACACGCCACCCGGCTTTCTTAATGGGACTTCCGGTATCTGTATTCAGTATCGATGAGTCCTGAAAAAAACATATCGCTACTTGTACTGGATACCGACAATCTTGCGCATCTTCTGGCATTACCAAATGATATATTATTGAGTAGAAAACTAGATGTGCACAACATCCGAGTACAACTTTTGTACTATGTTTGGATTTGGCATCTAGGTACACGACCTGTAGGTCATGTGCATTGTGCATTTTTAAATACATTTTTGTGATTCTTTTCTTATTTTACCTAATTAAATGATAAAGGGTTTCTTGACGTTTATTGCACACAGTTTATTTGATGTCCTGCGTAATGAAGCTCGAGTGATGGAGGGTCTCCACCGATTGGGTATAGAAGGTCCAGCATTGCATAATGTCCTCAAACTCAACATTCAGCCATCTAATGCAGACTATGCTGTGGATATCCGAAACTCTGCTATACTGGTAACTTTCACTACTCTGCATACCTTTCATTGATCATTGTTCATAATCACAGGCTTACTTAATACTAAAATGTTAAACCCTTGGTGGTAAACTGAATGACATATGGGTTTTGGCTGATTACATGGCCTGTTGTGTGGAATATTGCAGGGGTAGTTGTAATGGGGTCCATTGATTGATATAGCTATGAAATCATCCAGAAGCACCCATGTTGTAACCTTGTATGTTTCTTAAATAGAAAACTGAAATTCCCTGAGTTGCCATTTATTATATTGCCCATTAGGAGAGCTGCAGAGCAGCAATGTAGTACTTATTGCTGTTGGCTCTGGCTTATCAAGGTTCACTCTGGCCAAAAATTAAAGACAAACCTTTGAAATAGATAAACGGGGCACCTTTTACCTGCTCAGCACGTTTCGCTTCATCCAGGCGTTGCTGTAGTGTAATATACCATACCACTGCTTAAAGTTACCTGGTTAACAGTGACATGTTATACTGGAAACCCCTCATTGGAGGGACAGACAGGGAAGGGGGCGGACACAGCTGGCTCGGCTATGGAGAGGCAGAACCAGCTGTCAATCAGGAAGCAGGGTGCATCCCGACAATATTGTCAGGCTTTTTCCTGGCTGCAGCACGGCTCTGCACTGTCTGCAGACCGTGAGCAGTAAGGATGGTCTCGGACGTGTTTGCAGCTCTACATGCCGAGCCTGCCAGGAAGCTGACCAATCACAGACACGGAGACATTTCCCAATCTCTGCAGCTGCGGACCGGGAAAATGTCTCAGTACCTGTGATTGGCGCAGCGCGCTGTCAGCTTCCTGGCGGGCTCGACACGCGGAGCTGCGAACACGCCCGAGCCCATCCTTAGTGAGCAGTAGCCCGCTATTTGCCGACTTTGAGTCACAGGAGGACATTAGTGAATATACTGCTGTGACCCAAATGAGAAGTAAAGCCAAAGAAAAGGTTTGGCTTTACTTCTCTTTTAAGACAACTGTGTAAGGTCAGTGATTGTAGAGTCTGTTCATTATCATGACTTTGAGGATGTGCCTCTTTGTATTATGTTTGTGCCAATGCTTCTTGTATTGTAGTGGGTGAACAATCTGGAGACTGAAAGCAGATACAACTCATGGCCGTCCAGCGTTCAGGAACTTCTACGGCCTACCTTTCCCGGAGTCATCCGGCAGATCCGCAAAAACTTCCATAACTTTGTAAGTAGATACGCTTTTTTCATGGCTAGTTTGTATTTCAGGGCAGCTTCTAAAACTTCTGTTTCAGATCAAATTAGTATTTTTCATTAGTAGTGGGGTCAGAGTTATTTTGGGTAAGGAGACATATTTAACCACTTGAAGCCCGGGGTGTTAAACCCCCTTCCCATCCAGGCCTTTTTTCAGTATGCAGCGCTGCGTTACTTTGACTGACATTTTTTGGGGGACAGATAGAGCTTTATTTTGGTGGTATTTAATCCCTACTGGGGGTTTTATTTTTGAATATGTTAAAGAAAAATTACAGAAAATTTTTAAAAAACTGTTTCCCCTATATTAAATTCTAAAACATTTATTATTACCCATTTTTTTGGTAAAATATAAAAGACGGGGTCACGTCAGGTAAAAAGACACCTAACATGTCAAGCCTTAAAATTGCGCACGCGCGCGAAACCTCCAAAAAATACCCCAAATTGGCCATAGGCGATGCTTTAAAAGCTTTTACCGCTCATCAGTTTAGTGTTATTGATGGCCCTAAAATGATTGCTCTCACTCCGACGTAGCAGCGATATGTAACATGTGTAGCGCAATTGTCGTTTTCGCGCGCTGGTGCACCGGACGCGTATTTACAAAAAAATCATGCCATTCAACTGATCGGCGGCTATAGAGGCATTGATCGGTTGTATGTGAAACAGCCGTTAACGGCTGTAAAAACGAGTGGGTCTTTCCTGCCCCTAGCGCGCGCGAGCAGGAAAAAAATCCGGCAACCCGCTGATGCGAGTCTGCCGTCCGAACGGTTTTTTTTAACGGGCAGACGACAGGAGGTTAATTAAAAGGTATCATACAATGTGTTAGCCTCGCAAAATACCTATACTGGTATCTTTTTGTAGATTTATTATATATGCACACCATTTTTGACATATTTGCTTATTGTGTTTGATGTGCTGTACCCTGTGTGTGTTGTAAAGTAGCCACGGCTCCAAGCTCACTCCTGGCTACAAGCTCATGTTTAGTTTACTAATCTGTAATGAGATTGTAGTCTATCACGAGAGCGAGCTTGGAGCGGTGACTACTTCACAACACACACAGGGACCATGAGGAACATAAGTAGCCCCCCTGCAGAAGGAAGGACAGTGTCCGCACCAATTCAGAGATGATTTGAGGATCTACAGCTGAGTGATACACAAATAAGATACATTTTTATTAATAATTAAGGTACGTGAATGCATTTTTTCAGATTTAAATCCTGAGTTTAGTGTAACTTTATTGACATTGGTCTGTGACCTTCAGAAAGGGAACCTCCATGTCCCCCAAAATGTCACTGTGTTAGTTTTCTGCACATGTAACTTCAAATAAAATTCACTTTTTCCTTGATGATTTATGAGATTATTGGTGTGCTGACAATTTTTCTACTTGTGTATTTATTGCTGTCTGTGTCCCCATTTGTGAGATTTTCCCTCACTTCCTGTCCCAGAGACACAACAGTCCCAAAGTGAAAGGAAATCCCACATTTCACAGTTTTCAGCAAAATTTGTTTTGTTCCTCTACTTTCTTTCTGGTTACATCTATAAAATTTTAGGTTTCACATCAATTTCCCAGTAACTAGGAGAGAGGCTGAATTTCCTAAATGTGGACTCCGCAGTAGTAAAACGTGAGGTTTTAAACCATTTCCACTCCACCAAAACCAGAAAAAAACTTTTTACTTGGTGGAATTTCACTTTAAGTCCCTGCCCAGACCTAGGTGTTTTGTCACTCAAAGCTAAGCAAGCCAAAGCTCTCAAGACATGGAATCCCATTCATTTCTATAGTCCAGGTTCACACCTGAGCATTTTGTCGCAAGCAGAAAAACGCCTGTCACTGGAAAAAGTTAATGAGCTACTTATTGTTCCCATAGACTTCCGTGAGAAACTTTGTGCGACAAAAGGCTCAGGTGTGAGCAGGGGTCATACAAATAAATGGGATTTCTTGTCATGAGCATTTTGTTGCGGTTAGCTATGAGGGACAAAATGCCTAGATGTGGTGTGAAAGGGGCTTAAGGGGCTTTCACAGCATTGTGATTCACCCACACGGCTTTTTTTCCCACGCAGTGACACACATTGCTTTCAGGCAGCCTGTTCATTTTTTATGGGCTGTCAACACATATCGGTGTACAAAAAAAAAACTAGTGCATGTAACACACAGTATTCTGTTTTTTTTACTTAGTGTATATGCACTGTATTGACTTGCACTGCTGTAACGCACAACAAAAAAAAAGGGTTTCACTGCTCGTTACTGCA